ATCTATCTATCTATCTATGGGTATCGTGGTTTTAAATCTTCCTTTTTTCATGTTTCCATTGTAACATTACCATGACTTGGAGATATCATGGGACATCCCTCATTTTCGGATGAACAGATTTGGTCGGCCGTTGAGATCTCCAAGCTGGCCGCCCTTCAACCCACAGGTAGCTTGTAATCACGGTTCTTGGTGGTTGGCAGCCCCATCACTACCCAAAAAAACAACATCTTCGTTTTGAACAGTTGTGGTATCATGTAGTTGTGGTGTTTTTATACAGGTGGATGCCCATGGCCCCAAACAAGTTGGTCATGTTGGCGAACGAAGAATCCGTCCGGGTCGCTAAACCATTCAAGATCATCCTAATTGGATCGGAGAATATCTTTGGATAGTTGTACCTGATGTACCTGATCAATGATCATGAATTGGATCCAAGATCATCTGTGATCCCGCTGATGTTCGCAAATAGGTTTGTCTATGTTTGAACCCAAAATACCGTACTTCCCCATTACATCAAATGGTTACTTACTCACAAGTTTCGCATTTGGGTGTGTGCGGAAAAAACGTCGCCCCAAGTCTGATGGATTGTACTTTTCAAATCATCACTTTTCCATCATTTTCCTGATGCACATTGCCATTTGGGGCTGTGCCCTATTTTCAATCAAACCCATTCAAAAATACAATCTGCTAATCGAACATGGCTCGCTGGACAATTCGGTCATTTCCCAATTTGTGATGTTTGATGACTATATATCTCCAATTATCTCCATATGGTTGGTCAAATCAACCCAAAAATCCCATTAAATCCGAAAGTTTACCATCATTTGAACCATTTACCCCAAACAATTCCGATTTTTATGGTGAAATCCCATTAAATACCATTAAATTCCACTAAATCACTATGGTTCTTGGCAACATCCCAATAAATCCCATATAAATCCCTATTGTTGATGGTGAAATCCCCTGAAATTCCACCAAATCCCATGAAATCCCAAGAGTTGATGGTCAACTCCGCACAGCTCATATCCCCACTGAGCTAACCAAGCTGGTACACCCTCTGCCGTCTTCACCTGGATATGGCACTTGGTGGTCTTGGGTACCAGCAATCCAGCAAGGATGATGTATCTTGCAATGTATACAGTATGTAAATAACCATAGCTAAAGATCATATATCTATAGTTATTCGTACTAGTGATGGTTAATTCTTTTTGGGGTCATCCAGAGAAATCAGGACATCTAAACAGAACATGGGTATATAGGGATCCGTCCCCAGTATGGGGGTACAATCCAACTTTTGACCAATGAATTAGCCATGAGTAGCCCGCAAAATGGATGCACCAAGTGTAAGCAAAAATGAGCAAACATGAGCAAAGATTGTGGGCTGTAAGGCCCATTTGGTTTTCCCATGATTTCCATTGAACCTGGTGATTTCCCAGCGCCATGTACACCGAACATCACCATCCCCACCATGACTCCTAAATGGACCATCACAGATTTGATATGGTGAAAGATCCATTGGTTCCAACTGGTTCCCCATGGCTAACATGGAATAAGGATACCTGATATATATATACACAATATATATATATAAACATATATACATATATGTAAAACAAATTATATGTGTATATATGTAATTAAATTACTTGTGTATATATATACATACAACCATAGTTCCTTAGCATTAGCCGCCCTCCACTCACGTTTTTTTTTGTTCGTTGGCCTCGGCAAAGGTGGAAAACATCAGCACTTCGTCTTCCAAACCCACCAGGCTCTGAATCCTGGCAGCTGTCGTGTGGTAAGGACGACCTACAAATAGCTTTAGGACGGAGATGGTGTTCATAAAAGCCATTATTACTAATGGTTATTATTAATTAATGTAGAACATGGTATCAACGTCTGTAAGATGCTGTGTCGGTCATGACATCAGCCAATCACATGATAATTTTATATGTTGAAATGCCCAAAACTGGGTAATTTGCGCATTTTCATTTTTCTGTAGCAATTCTTTTGCTGATTTTCTATGGACGGAAGGGTCACCTCAAAATTGCAAAGTGTAGTGTTTTACCACAACAAAACTGTATTTTTGTGTCCTGAGAGCTTCGTGCAAAAGTTTCATCTTGTCTTCAAGCTGAAAGTTCGCCAAGCTTGTGGAAGAGTTTGCCTGTGACGCTTTTGCGCCAGACAGCAGCATACAAGTACCATCAAAAGTTTGGAAAGTTTTGTCTGCAGTCTTTGTGTTTGTGTACTGTAACGGCCTTGGAAGTGGATTTTTTGAACCAACCAGCAGCGTAGCATGACGTACATGCAGAAGTCCAAGAGAACGTACAGCAGCGCAGCATGGCATGCATGTAGAAGTCCAAGAGAACGCATGACGTGTGTGTGGAAGTCCAAGGGAGCGTGCAGCAGCGCAGCATGACGCACATGTAGAAGTCCAAGAGAACGTTTTTAGCCCACCCCATCACCCCTACCACCCTTCCCACCCACCCCCACCCCCAACACATCAACACGCGCATGGCCTCTTACTGGCGCTGACGCCAAAAACATGGGACTACCAAAATGGTTTCGAAGCAAGTTCGAACTGGTGATGATTGGGATTCCCAGGCTCATGCTTTGTAGAACTGGAAAATATCTCCTGTACACAACTGCATTGTTGAATATACATTTGCAAATATATATATATATATATACACATACATATATAATTATACATGTTTAAATACTGATTGTGCTTACCATCCCAGCGGATGATCTCCAGTTGAAACAGTCAATAAACCCACGCAACTGGATCATGATCATGGCAGACGTTATATATAAAGGTTGCACAGGCATGCAAAAATCAATTTAACGAAGGCCGCGACTTGTCAGAAGCTCGGGGCCTCCCCATTGCACGTGGATGTCACCAATTCGAACATAGACAACCACCAGCAACAACAACCCAGTAGATGCACCATTTCCGATGGATTTCACGGGAAAATGATTTAAACAAAAACGCCAGCCAGAACTCAATTGATATTCAAATATTCATCAACTATCATCAACTGTCATACAGTACCATCATTACCATGTTGGTATAATCACCTATAATGGTTGGGTAGTCAATATTTGGCAAAGGTTCTTCTTGATCTGATCACAACGAAAGCCAGGATGACGTCCAATCCGTGGGTGCGATGACGCCTTCAAGACCTGGAAACGGACAGGTCGAACGGAGTCAAAGATAGCGCCCGCACATGGCTGTAGATCTGGTAGATCTGTAGGCGGTTTCAGATGGTTTCAGCTTTCATTCTAACCCGGTCCTACAAAGATCATTGAAATCATATTTCATCTCCAACTTGTTTCCTAGAACTTCTGCTTGGTGATGTAAAACCCAAACAGACATATTGGTCGTCTGGGATCGTCCCAAATGAAATCCAGCGCAGCAATTCCCTTTAAGATGCTGAACAGTGGTCAGCATCACTTATTTAGTCGGATTTTACGAACTTCCATTTTAACTTGGGAATTGCCACAACTCTTCTTTTCAAACCATCAACCGGTTCCTGATCGCTTTCGTCCCTTCACTGGTCTCTCCAAGCTCCCCAACCGCAAGGCAGAAGACCCGCAGCTGCTCCTGAACCAAGGGCCCCCAAAAAAAATTGCTTGGTGGTTTCAGCTCATCCCACATGTATTTTTGTTTGTTTTTAATGATCGTCCAAATACTCTGATCTGAAACAACACACCAAAAAAATGTAAATTTCAGTGAAACTCTACTTCTGCTCTGATGCGTGAGGAAGTATGATACAATTTGCAGTGGTTAGACTCATCTCTTGGGTTTCCTACGATGATAGTCCGTGGTCCTATAGTGGAGTTCATGGAACTATGCAAACCGCATTAATGTGGCCCACAGTGACTTGGACCTACCGCTGCAGGGATCAACGGACGCCAGGCCTTCCACTAGGATCTCACCACGATCGCTGTGCTTCCATGATGTCACGCGAGATCCAGGCAAGGACACCTGCGCCAGAGTCAGGTCTCAAGAACCCGGGGAAGTTGCACACAAAACGGGATATTCTTACCCGAAAATAAGCTGACATGTTTTTTCTCAATGCCATCATCGTTATCATCACCACCATCATCATCATCATCGTCATCATCATGATCATGACCATCATCTTTTCCATCATCTTTTCCATCATCTTTTCTATCATCATCATCATCATCGTCATCATCGTCATCATCATCGTCATCATCATCATCATCGTGATTGCCGTCCAAATCCTCATCCTCCTCATCATCGGTCAAAGTAATCATAACCATCACCACCACCATCATCATTATCATCATTATCATCATCATCATCATCATTATCATCGTCATCATCATCATCATCAACCTCATCATCAACCTCATCAACAACCTCATTCTTCTCCGTATCCTCATCCTCTCATCCGCATGACGAAACCGTGAATTCTACCAGCATGTCTGGTTGCGGCTGGTGAAAGAACCCCTTTTCCACACAGCCTGACACGCTGCCCCGCTGGGATGGTTCATGGATGCCGTCGGGGTTCCATCCTGGGCCCAGCATTTGGGGTTGTTTCTGCGAAAGTGGTGGGCGTGCAGCTTAAACACGTCGAGAAAGCAGGGATTTGCGACCGAAAATATGGATGTTCAACGCAAAACTTACGTAAACCCTAAAACGATTTTTGCTATGGCACTCAGACGTGGCACTGGGAAACCACCCTTTTTGACAGGTCAATCATCTATAAACTGGGAATTTACATGCCAGGTTTGACCATGGTTACGAAAGAGCCTGATAGAGGTTTACGGCCGTGTGTAGGAAGATGATGGAACAAGTTTTGGCTTCCCATGTGACAAGTATAGTTCCATTTATAACTGGTTGGGTGCAAGGGGTTTGCATGGCTGATTGCAACAGTTGCCATGAATTCGGCTGGCAACTAAAAAACTTTATCAAAGAGAAGTTCATGACCCATGTCTGGGGTGTCTTATTGAGACTTATACTTAAAGGCCACAATTCTTCAGAGGAATCCAACCTTTTGGTACGGGTGATTCATGGTCAACTTATCTAGTTGGCGATGAACTTCCTGACACGTTTACTCAGGAGAACCACCCTTTAGCTTTCAATATTCCAGCCGAGATCATTATTCTGGTTGCTTAACTCCTCATTCTTCATCGTTCTATAAGTAAACCTCCCAGTCTTTTCATGCTTGATGTGCCTTCAGTACAACATGTCCAGAAGTGGCTTAAGGGATCAATCCTGAACACGCCTGGATTGGATGCTAAAATGCAGGGCTTGCACTTAACATTTTCCCGTAAACGAACCTATTGACAAAACAAAGCTCATCGTGACACTGGGCCCCCGCACGGGTCCCAGGGACACGGAGGAATTGCCGGCCTAGGGCGGACATGGATCAAGACGAGCGGGGATCTATAGCTGGGTCGGCAACAGCGGCATATGTGGAAATGAATCAAGACCCTGGCACCCTAGTGACATCAGACTAGCTAGGATTCGTGAATGTTCATCCTATAACAAAAGATGGTTCCAGTTTCCGCCCACTCCTATATTGTTCATGAAACAATCAGGTTTAACCAAGCTGCAATTCGGAAACTCACCAACCATCAGTTGGTTTTCCGTCTAATGGGAATGTGAAATGGGCAACTATGTATATTGCTTTGCGCGCCAGCACCCTGAACCCCTGCTCACAATCCAAAAAAATGAAAAACACATCTTGGTTGGCACGTTAAGTCCTACTCATTTTGGGCATGGAAACTATGGGTCTGGACCAAGATAACCACCCCAGATTTCCGCTATAGCACAGCCTGGAAGATTCACCAACTATCATTGGGCTGGCTTGCCATCTACAGTAATGAGGGGGATAATGCACCTCCTGGCTAAAAACATCCAAAGACCAAAGGTAAATCGCGAACGACCTGATTTGTGGCATTTGTTGGATGGAAAGCAAAAACAGAATTGAATCCACCAGCCAAAATGAATACACCTGGTTAATTATACAGTTTTAATGTACAGGATTGTACAGGTATGCCTGGAACCCAAGTGGCCCTGGTTTCAATTCTGGACCCCTGGTGGTCCAAGCCACAAGGGCAATTCATGTCTTTTACCAAATCATCCAATTTAAGAAAAACAGAGGCGCTCCATGCCCATACATATCGGATTGTGCACAGACATGGGGTCCCACTAGCACACCTGTCAATGTGCTATCCCATCATGTTGCCCAGCAAACATGGGAGCGAATGCTCGTCAAACGTTGCTGAGACCAGCAATGTCATGCGCAGACTGGCGACCACCAACAGCCATGGTCCCAATCAGCTTGCCTCAGCCCAGGGCCCCGGCCAACAAACTTTCAAGCGGCCGAGCTAGCATGATGAAGATCAAATCAGCGGGTCACAGCCCCACAGCAAACACATATGGTATGACGTGATGCTCTTAGCCGATCCTGTAAGAAAAACCAAACTGATGTCCGTGTCCACCTTGGAAGACTCAAATGGGCCCTTCTGGAACTGAGATTGTATATGCCTAAGAAAATATGATAAAACACCTTGAGCATGAGAGCTTCCAGCCTACCAGTGTCATTTATGTGTTTGTATTGATGAACCAAAACTGCTGCGAGCACATCTGAAGGTGCAAAGAAACCACCGACTGCCGACCAACAAACCAGCGGAGAAATCACTGCTGTGAACTTACCAAAAACCCTGGCTGTTTCTCAAAGGGCACATTGGCGATGGGAATGACAAATCTGCATCAAGCCAGCTAGGACGCAAGCAACAGGGAAACCAGGGTTGCTTGCCACTATCTCCAAATCATGTCCAAAAATGGAACAGCCCGCAAATCCGGTAGACCATCATATTTCTAGCAAAGGGGAGCATATAAACCCCAAATCTTTGGACCCCCTTAGGCACCTGCTGGCTCAAGGTTTATCCCAAGAGCCAAGGCCCTCATCAATCGCAAGTCTGGATGCGCCCCATTCGTTTTTGACTCAGCCAGCATTCTTGGAAGGATCAGCATTGGGACGAATGGCCTGCGCTGCGCACGAAGTGTGCATCCACCCAGCACATCTATGCTATAATTATGTGGTGCTTGAGATGTGTCTGAACAAATTTCAACATCCTGCCCATACTGTCAATTCTGACGTCTTTCTGTCGGGAACTGGAGCATCTAATGCCAGTCCTGAATTCAATTTGTCAGTGCCGCTGGAAACTTATGAGTGCAACTCAGTTGGGATCAACAAAAATGATTGCAGCATTTAAAATTTCAATATCACAAACGGCAGGTGTCTATGAATCAAAACCCACCTTAGTGAAAACCCAAATAGCTAAGATTTATGGGTGTTCATTTCCCAAATATGATATTAGGTTTTGAACCATCGCCCTGTACGTGCGGATGCAGCGGTGACGTGCTGTAGCGCCTGGTAGCCAAAAATGGCAGTGGAAAACTCCCCATTTAGTTCGGCAATTTTTCTATTGAAACCACCGTGCGCAAGCATAACTACGTCATTCCTCATTGCCATGTTGGATTACCGTTTGATTACGGAGGGTATCCGAATGCAATCCAGATTTAACCCAATGCAAAGCATGTATGTCCGAATAGCGGCAAGATGTCATCATCATGCCACCACAAGTGCCCAATCCAACGCGGCCAAAACCAATTCTTGATTTCTATTATGCCTATCTCCAATGATCCAATCCGGATCAGTTTTGGTGGCATAGCACCTATAGCACCAAGCATGTGTTATGCTGAAAGATGTGCAAATTTTGTGGCACATCCAATACGAAAATGAAGGTGGGAGGAACAAAAAACACTTGTTAATCTTCAAAGATGTTGAAAACACACCAAGACCTCCTGGCAGCAATGCCATTTGAAGATCAGCGAAATGGGATGGAACGTTTCAAACATTTGACGTGCACCAACCAGTGTATTGAATCTAATTTCACAAAACCAGCCGAGAGCAGGTCATAAACTGTGACATTCCGACCGGTCTCACCTCCTGGACCTTTGATTTTGGTCGGAGAATGGTGGATTTGACCCTGGCTATTTCAAAACTTAACGATCATTATATAATTATGATAAATCATTTTTTGTATTTTTTCCATATCTTTTGGCAGACAAAACCATGCCTGGAAACACATCGTCAAGCACGATGTCAAAAAAACCCGAGGATTCGCAGTGGTCGGGAACACTTGCCTTTCCGAAAGCGTTCAGCCATACCGGACCCGCTTTCAAACATCCGGTCCTTTTGGTCATGTTTGGGATGAAACCATCCAATTCTGTTCGCAAATCTTGCGCGCTGGGAAGCAATGCAGATGAATTGGTCGGCACGTGCTGACACAGGGCTCAAACAGGGCTACCTCCAAAACACAAGCTTGGTCACACATGATACTCTTACATGTATTAAGCCATCCATCCAATATTGCGGGTCAATAATTTTTGAGTCAACCATGTCAACTCGCGTTGTTTCTTGACACCTAGCTTGTCAAGAGGGAAGTTCCTATATCATCTGCTGTCGACAAAAGGCGTAGCATCTGCAGGAATGCAACCCCTGATGCATCGCAAGCCTCGGAGGCAACGTGACTTTACATGATGTCGAACCAACAAAAAATGGGAACTGAACTCATATGCTTTTGATAGGATGGAGCAACCCTGATCGTCGGGGTATACTATGGGTATTCATGATGATGGTGGTGTCGGCCACCTTTGCTCTGAAGCATATGAGCATGTCAGGCCGGCAAGCGCATATATGGTCTCTAATAAACTAAAAGAGATACGGAAGATCATGGAACCTGCATGAACTTCTGGGAAAAGTGTCCAAGATGGCAGATTTCAAGCAACTGCGCGAGTGTACAGGCGGGCATAGCGTACAACTGAGGAATTACCAGAAGAGGCGCTAATAGCAAACGCGTGCAAGAAACTTCCTGGTTGGTGAAGCTGCACAAACGAATAAAAGCAATGAAATCTACAAAATCCATCTCATTACATATCCTTGGAGAACACCAGTCACTTCGCCTGGCGGTGCTTCTTCTAAAGCTGAGTTGTCCGGGGTGGCTACAGAAGGGTCTTCTCCCAATATTTAAAAATACCAAAAAAATACGAAAAACATACAACCCAAAAATACAAAATCAGAACTGCAGGGTTTGGAAAATACAACTGGTTGGTTCATATTTTTTTTTTTGTATTTTGGTTCCTGATTTCCAAAAGTGAACACGGGGTTGGCTCTCTGGCTTATTTTTGAATTTGTCTTTTCTTTGTATTTTGTATTTTTGAACCTTTGGGTTCGTATTTTTTTTTTGTATTTTGTATTTTTGAAATTGTTGATTCGTATTTTTTTTGTATTTTGTATTTTTGAGCAATTGCATTCGTATTTTGTGTATTTTGTTTGTATGTTTTTCGTATTCTTTTTGGTAAAAATACAAAAAAAAAACGAAACAAATACAAATAAAATACAAAAAATACACTTTGTATTTTTGCATTTTTTGTATTTTTCCATTACGTCCAAAAATGCAATTTGTATTTTTGTATGTTTTTTGTATTTTTCCAGTCCTTCACAGATTGCACTTTGTCCTTTTGTATTTTTTGCGTTCTTTAGACATGCCGTCAAAGAACAAAACCGCAAATCCATCAATGTATGTTGTATTTTCCTTTTGTTGATAATTTTGCCCTGCTCAGTGTTGTATTTTTTTTTGTAATTTGGAGTTGTATTTTTTTGTGTTTTTTTTTGGTATTTTTAATGATTACAGGGTTCACAGTCTGTAGCAGACCTGGGGCAACTCAATTCTAAAGTGTCAAACAGTTCAGAGCCCAACAGTTCTTGAAGAACTTGCAGCTCAACCTCCCAATTCAGGTGCTTTCAGTCTAATCAACAACAAGTAGACAGAACAAAGACTTTATCCATTTCAAAATTCAAGCAGTATTCACAAGCCAAACGGTCACAATAATAGAAACATTAAAAACAATAAATTAACGCGATCCATTTTGAACAGTTCCAAACCAGCAGCATTCACCAGCATCTCGCAGCTAATCATGTTCATCCCATCCATGGCACCCAGTGCCACGCGCCAGGGCGGCGCAGCTCCCAAGAAACTGCTGCGGCCGACGACGTCGCAGCGGAGGCTGCGTTCGACGGCGGCGGAAAGGAGGGCCAACCCGTTCGACCAACAACGGGTGCCTCGGTTTTTTGCCCCTACAAGTATGACCTGGGTCATGCGTGAAACATATAAAAATCTTGGTGATATCTATGTGATATCCATCTCTTTTAGTGTATAGATGTAAATATACATATATATATGTATATATATATATATATGTATATATATGTATATATATATATATGTATATATATATGTATATATATATGTATATATATATATATATGTATATCATTGTATATACATGTAGTAATGCAAATACTTACATGCAAAAGCACGCCGGTTTGTTATTTTGGAAGAGTCATCGGCGGCCAGTGATAAAGATATTCAAACTCCAAGCAAAAGTACGCCCTGGAAGGGCCACTGAGTATCGTGAACTAGCTGTATATACATATTACTACAACTGTTTCTATATATAAAAAATGACCTATTTGCCGCATTTGGTAAAAATTAGCCATGAAGACGTGAAGCGCCCAAAGAATACAGGAGATCCGAACTGCTTGAAATCTGTGGGGTGTGTCCTCACCTTGGGATTTGTTGATGGTGGGGAAAGGAACCTGAAAGAAAACAATCGGATCAACAAAGGCTGAGAATTTAGACAAGGGTTTAAGGGGGAGCGTGTTATTGGATGTTATTGGGCGTGATTATGGAGATGGCATGCTGGGATCCTTTTCCGGCAAAATACTGCTCAGGAGAGTTCTCAAAATTCGCACACTCCTGGAATGCAACATGAAACTTTCACATCGGTGTAACAACTTTCCAGTCAACTGATGACATCACTGGGCTGGTGGCCTTTTCCCTGAAAATCCGCTTCCCTTGCCGCGCTGGCTGCTGCTGAAGCACAGGCATTGATGGCACTGTTGTAGCTGATGATGTTGGGAGACATGTTGCCGGCAAGGATCTGGCTCAAAAGCCTTAGGCAGGCAAAGAAAAAGCGGAGGACCTTTGAATTGATGTCACAGAACACGTGGTGAACGTAACAATGCTCCAGCTTTTGAGTCTAGCAAGTGAAATGGCTTGCAAGGAAAGCAAGCAGTATATGAGCACTTGACACCCAGCGACGCACAGGCATGGCGCCAATGTCGGTCCTTCCCAGATGCGCTGATGATGCCATTGAAGGTAATGACCTCACCACCACGAGATCTTCCATGCTACCGCGACATTGCATCCAAACTAGTTTGGTGTGCTTGGTTTGTATCCTGGGGCGTCGGACGTCAGGGACCACGACGGCTTCGCTCATCAAATCCAGCAGTCGCAGGGCGGAGGTGAACTGCCCCCCTTTGTCACACGCACTGATTGCAGCATTAAAACCTCACGCAGCTGGTGTTTCGTGGTGAGCAGTTTCTCTCGCCCTGTGGGGTGCTGGAGCTTTTAAATGCGCTGGTGCAACGCATGGACGATTGAAACTCCAGAATGGATAGGTTTGGTTACTCTCCGTGTAGAAACAACACATCCGTGGATTTGGGGATCCACGAGTCCGGGACTTAAGCTCTTGTGAACGAGTGCTGCGCATCCAATCAAATTAAAGGATTGGAATTCCCAGGAAAGCTGGTCGTACCTTCATTGAAGCTTCCAGCATGATTGCAAAACTCCCTGGTATGTGTGTGTCATGGGGTAACAGTGGGCCCACAAATCTTCAGTACTGAACCCTAGCAGAGCGAAAGCCTGTCAAGAATAGATTCAGCCTGTTGAAAGCCGTACCGAAATTTCCAAGTTGCAAGCGATCAGCACCACACCGCAACCCATGATTCTTTAAGGCATTAGATGGCATATCTTCCTCTTGGATACCAACCCTCCCAGCTGCCATCCCAGCAGCTGAAAACATCTTCCACGCCCTCCAGCGTCAGCGCCAGCGCTGTGCTCCAAGCAGCAACAAAGCCGCAGGTGCTGATGCTGCTGCTGAAGCCGATTACCTAGGCACCGCACAGTGGAATCCTGGTAAGGTATCAAAATATTTCTGCTGGTGGGTAGCTGGTGAAACAACATCCATGAGGCATGAGATCAAATTTAATTTGAAAAAGATTTTCCCACTATGGTTTACCCATATTCCACTGATTCCCTGGGTGTTCTCTGTGTTGGCCGTTACGCCGCGTCACGTCTGGAACCATCGCCTCCGCCTCCATTGCCGCCAGCAGCCACAAGGCTTGCCGCCAATGGCCGCGCCGCTCGCAGACGGCCACGGAGCTGTTGTAGGTCACCGTCACCGTCTGGATCCTGCCCGGGGTGGAAAGGGCTCAAGAGGGAGCTGTTTAACAGGGACAACCATGTTAGTAGCCGATTATCGCTATTTGGTGGTAACCACACTCAAAATGACAACCATTAATCAACAGAAGTGTCCAAATCCTGGGTTGACAGTAAGGAGGATGATGATGATGGAAAGAAAGTTCTAATGCAAACATTATCATTGGTAAACTTGTATGTGCGTGTACACATGTATATATATATATACATATATATATATACATATATATATACATATATATATACATATATATATACATATGAAGAAATGTCAAGAAAATGGGGGATGCGCGAAGTATGGCGTGGATCATGAGGGTTAATCAAGTGTGGGGCAAACGGTTTCTGGAAAGCTCCAAATGGAAAACTATACGTAACTGGTCAAAAATCACCGAGGAATAATGGTTGACCCGTTCTTTCCTGTTAGTATTAACAGCGAGTTCACCAGTGATTCGCAACTGGTGAATTTATGAAAATGCAAGTCGGACAACTGCAGTATTCAACGAATCTCTTTCAACAGCTGCATTGTGCATGAAATCAAATCACTAAATGTGTCTCTGTGAAATATATTTGTTGGGTCCACCTACTCCTATCTGTGTCTACATATGTGCTATCCTCAAAACATGGCAAATGAATGCCCTATCGTCATCCCGCGAGTATTGGAAAATCCTTGTCTTCGTCATTCTAATTCCTTGTTCATGATGGTAATACGGTATGACCATCCCGACATATCGGTATATATGATGCAAGTTTTGACCGTGGCACCCTATAGATGTCTATAGCTCATATAAAAACAGCAAAGCCAAATCATAGAAATCTGCCCCAAACTAGAATAATTGTGCCCACCCTTATGCAGAGCAAAGCCATCAGATCGCTATCGCCTGCGAGATCGCATCTGCGCCAAGAGCGACAAGGCGATGATCACTTCGCCGCATGCCTGGCACGCGCCGATTGCCGAGTTGTAGCTGATGCTGTCCGCTTGGACCTGATGGGCCAAGTTCGTGGGCCAAGAGCATGGGACATGGGAAGATTCGTGGCTTTGGTGTGAGGTTTCAGGAAAGCAAGATGTTTTCAAACGCATCCAGAAACATGGGCGAATTGGGATTTGGGTTCAGCAATCACAGGCATTTGAATGCACCAAACCGCATGAATTATATTGAGAGAGATGGAACTTTCACTCCCTGACGACGGGATTACGCTCAACATGTGTCGCTATACTCCACCCTCCCTCATTCTATTCCGCCCTTCCCTCACCTCTGAAGATGACATCAATGATAGAAGTCCAAGCGCCACTTGCCACTCCCCGGTCTTTTGGCAAATGTCCATAATGCCGTTGCAAGTGATAAGATTCGGCTGCACCTGATCCTCAGCGTCATGGTGGGTGGAATATTTGCAACCCCAAAATTGCAAGCTTGGGGTGATGTACCATTCGATGACTGTCAATCGCGACACTTAGAAAATGACCAGTCTGACCCCGAGACGCCAGTTTACCAGAAATAGTTTTAAACTATCTCCCAGCTGGAGGTTGGTTATTCCATTTACTACAGTGGCAAGCATGGTAGAATCACCTGTCCTGTCTGACCATGGGAGATAAAACATGAAACCTTGCCCGAGAGTCAACTTCCATCACCTGCAGAATGCTTGCAGCTTGAGCCCAACTTTCACAGTGCACAATAGCAGAGGAATAGCTTATGACCTGAGCAATGACAGCGGCATGGGTACAAGCTGATACAGTACAACTGATTGGTGAATAAACTCCCCAATGAAACGCATGGATCACTTGTGCCTTTCACCCCAAATAACAAAACAAAGCACTACTTCAAAACGCCAATGACAAGGGTCAAAGATGGCCTCAACAACAGACTCCGGGCTGATTGTATCTCCAACTGACAGATCTATTTCAGGGGCTCATGAGCCATGCTTTTGGAGCTTGGCTTTTTGCTGCTTAAACGCAAACACTTGAACCATCAATTTAAACAGCCATCCTCAGAGGGCCGTCGTCCAGGCTGGAAGCCACAGGATTGCTTGCAATCCTCTGCATTGTTTCTGCCTGATCCAACCAGCGATCTGAGTAATGTCCAGTTCAGCTGCTGTCATCCAATTGTACTGTTTGCTTGATAAGGATTCCCATCTCAGTAACTCTTGCAAAACTTATTAACGCAATTGTGCGAGGAAAAGCTGTACACGGTGACCCAAGCACCAGTTTGTCGGTACTAGGTCTACGGGCAGATGTTGTTCGAAATATGAATTCCGAATTCCACTGAGATCTACGGTCATTGTGGCGTGAAATCATGTGTACTCCCAGGTCCAAGGGGTAAAGAACTATAACCTTGTAATTCTACCTTGTTATGCGCCCGTGGCATCCAGAGAATCAAGATGTATGGCACATATGCTTTACACACACGCCTCATGTATGTTGCACATATGTTACATTTTTGTTACATATTATTCCAAGAATTTACTTGGTTGGCCTCGCCCTTGTGTTTTCCTTTCTGAAGAAGGGTGATAGAAGATGATAGGGGTGGTTGGGCCACGGTCTTTTTTTTTGCGCGCGTTTTGTTTGCACATTTTGTACCTTTTTGCTTGTGATTGGGGGGGTGTAATTAATACTTTCTTTCACTTGGGTTTGCACGTGCGCTTGACTGTACGTGCTGCTATGGTAATCATTTCTCACAGCCAGATTGTGCTTGAAGGAAAAGAAAGAAAGTCACTCCTGTTTGCACTGCTCAGCGCCAATTCAATGTATGTACATATGTGGGGATGGCGTCGAAGCTTGAATGAAAGTCTGACGCCGCTGTCCAAAACTCAAGATCGCACGGTAGAATGTAGCTTGCCATTTTGCAGTCCCAATGCCACATCCAAGCTGCATCGGGAGATGCCGATGGCTGCCATTTCAGTAGTTGGAGGACCCGCATCCAGTGAACGCATGGCGCGTTGCCTGTCACTGCACCTCGGACAGGAAGAGGTGGGCAACTGTTCGGTGAATGTTGGGTGTTCATTGGTGTCCATGTTAGATTTCCTGGTGCCAACCAGCACATCGGCTTCCTTCCGATCGTGCAAGCTTTTTTTGTTTCAGGCGATGGGTCTGTTGCTGCGATAGTAAATGTTCACGGTTCTAGGAAGTAGATGTAACATATCTGGGGATTCAGAAAGCAACGCCAAACAAAATCTTCATGCAAGTGCAAGCACTTTGATTTTGGGGATCAGCAAAGTAGGCATTTTCAGGTCAACTAGGCTGCAAGAGCCACACGCAACCTTCCATGTCAAGCTGTTGAGGTTTGCAAATTTGTCATGTGATGTGCTTCCAGACAGCTTTCAGGTGTGTCGGGATGGAAGCATTGGTGGCTGTCACTGGTCCCTTGCTGACTTTGTGGATGAATAAATTGGAAGCAACAAGGTGCGCAAGGCAAAACCATGCGCCGAAAAATCTTCGTGGTGGAACATAATCAAAATTAAAGATCACGTATGATCAAATTAGGGTCTTGAACTCCCATGATTCGGAAGGCGGAATTGTCACTAGCGAACCGTTGTTCGCTACCTGCTGTGTTGCTCCAAGGAGCCAAGAGCATTGTTTAAGACGACCGTCGATGGAACCATGCCTGCCAAGTGACATTCAATGACTCGGTGTCTCCATCTGGGGCTCGACTTGGGGTGAGTGCTTTAATCAGCAATGAGAATGTCGTGTAAATGGCTATGACAAAAAGAATGCACATATATATTATTCCGCTATACGCATGGTCAGTGCCACCAAGATATATCGTCCAAAAAAGTTACTGTTCAATCAGGGTAACTTTCAACATCAGCCTGATTGTCTGCAAGCAGTTTTGTCCCTTCAATCCGATGCTCTTGTGTTGGTAAGCTCTTCATCTATTTATGGTTCATATTGTTGGTCACTGTCTCGTTCAAAGTTTTGTCGGTTTATCCTCAGCCAAGTCCTATCATTAATATTGACGGTGAAACCCCTCATGCCTGCATCACCGATGTTTTTGTAACCCTCAAGCTTGAACCCAATGGGTTGGTTTAAAGATATGAAGGAAACCGCCGGAAACCTACAGGAAACCATGGTTTCCTGCAACATGTTTACTCGACAATCCGCTTCCTTGCTTATTGAATGCTGGCTAGAACCATTTTGCTGTGTTGTTGGTTAACCAGGTTAAGCATGGTTAAGCCGTATTCTTCATTGGTCCAAGCAAAATTTTCGTTGATTAACATCTAATTTGTTTGTTGGCCCTCCATTTTTTTGTCGGTTCCAGCAATCCCAAAACAAAAAGCAACAGTGATCCCCACAGCAATCATCTTCATGGTTTTTCCTGCTAACCGCAAATGTTTTGGCGGTGAACTGGTGATCAAAGACCCAACTCGGCGACACCTCGCCGGTGACAGCGCTGCAGCAGGTCTAAGGTCATAGGCCAGGGAACACACCCCACGGCGCTGCCATAGCTCCTGGAGTTTGGAGGTTCTTTTGTACCCGTGACAGCTGCGAAAAGAATCAAGGAATGAGGGCGTGGTCTGATTTGTTCTGATGGAGACATGGTGGTTTTCGGAATGGCTGAGGGGTTGTTCATAGATGCGCTGTTTGCATGGAAAGTTACAAAGTTAAGAGTCCCAAATTCCAATCTCACCAAAAAACTTTAACCAACGAATCTGAAGGGAACTTGGCTCAAAACTGCTGCCCATTCAGGTAGGGGTTTGAACAAGTTTTGGCCCCGCAAAAATCCATCAGTTCCAATGGTCATGGAGCGTTGACGGGTCTTATTAATCATCAACAGCTGGGGTTTAATCCGGATCTGGCTACATCCTGATTCGCCATCCAACCTGGGAGTTGTATAACTTGCTTGAACCAACGGCCAGAAAGATGTTTATTGGTTACGTGGGCGGGAATATCAAAGCCCCCCGATCTGAAAAGTCTTGTGTTCGGAAGGTAAGTCCCTGCGGTACGGTCGTGATTAAGTTGTCAAAATCACCAAGGCAACCAGACATGAAAGCGCAATGAAAATTAATTCGAACCAACGCTGGCTTGAATATGTTTGAATGTAGTATATAAAAACAACCCCCAAAGATGCAGATATCTGAGCCAGCCTATCTAGAAATTCATGAAACCAGTAATTTCCAGTCATGCGATAAATGTACCCGGTATCCTAGTGAAAGTCACCCTGGTCTTGGGAGAGTCTGCTCCCACTTGCTCGAGCCCATCGCTGCAATCAAGTTGCACTGGAGAAGCTTGGAGAACGAACTCAAGAGTCAGCAGCAATTGCAAGGCCTGGAAGCTACAACCAGCAAAAAGGGGAAGATATCTTGCAGCAACTGAATTTGGGCGTGCCACACCAACAGTGGAACCGCCGAAGAAAAAACTGGAGTCGAGAGGCCTCAAGTCTTTGCTGGGATATACGAACTGATGGGAAAACCCCATTGCATTGTAATTTCTCCGTATGGCATCCACTAAGCCGGAAACTTTTCTGCACAAGTGATGCCAGTTTGTTGAAGACGCCCGGCCCAACAATCCCACCATGTTCTTCCAACACCTTCAGTCCCTCTAGCACCCACAAGTTCGCCGTATGTCACGATTATAGAATCCACTGCTCCCTTCCCAGCAACTCGGTCAAGCGTCGGAAGCCCAATCATACTCCATCAGCTCGCATTTCTTTGGGCATGACTGACATCCAAATAAGGCATTGGTGTGGTGAACCAAATCACAACCCATCCCAGTAACCAACTGTTTTAGCTAATTTTAAGCCATCATACCCAGGGGTAATTCCTTATTCGGTTTACATCACTAGCAATAATCACAGTTTGAACAATGATATCGATAGTACCAGTAGCAATCATGACCGTCAACAAGTGGAAAATATTTGTGAAGGTTGGTCGGCCCCAAGTTTTAATCATAAGAGGAGTAACAATCATCAACAATCACCATCTAATATCAGTATTCAGTTTACCACTTTCGATGGTAAAGTCTTAAGTCACCATGGCGGCACCAGGCACCTTGCGCCATGGTCCTTTCTCTCCACCGGCTTTCGCGCAGTGGATCATGGAGTTGTAACCTCGCAACTGCGGATCATCTCATGGGGTTGCGGGATTTCGGTGTAGTCGATTTCTCCGGTTTGTAAAACCAGGATATCATCAACCTACCACCATGGCAAAATGACATGTTTTACACCCAAGCAATATCAACATTTGTACTGCCAGGCACTGATGACGTCCAGTGCATCTCCCCTCAACCGCATCTCTGCAGCCACTTGAAAGGCTACCCTCCATGCTTCTGCAGCAAGGACAGCCATGGCTCCGTTGCAACTGGCCATGTGGCCGCGGCGCTTGGGCGACGCTGCAAGGAGGGCCAGGGACAACGGCCACGCGGAGTTCAAGCTGCTGATGCAACTGCCTTGGGGAAACTTTCATGGCGAAGTGCTGGTGAAATTGGACGTTATGTTGGAAGGGACTTAGTGGGTAGAAATTGCCAAAATTCTTTTTGAGGATAGAAAAGGCATAATTATGTATAATTATATATATATACACGCGTATATACGTATAGATAGTTAGATAGATACTTAACTAGTTAGATAGTTAGATGGATGGATGGATGGATAGATAGACAGATAGATAGATATCCACATGCAGAGAGAAAGAGAAAGAGAGAGAGAGAGATATATATGTATATTTACATCGGTTTAAATCCACTACCTATCGGACACACATGTAATCCCTTTCCCCTCATACTATCCCCCAAAATAATAAACACCTCAGGTAGTTTTTAGTATTAGGGGGGTATTTATTATTAGGAAACCCTAATAATAAATTGAAAGCCTTAATAAACAAAACTATTTGTGTGAAACCCTTAATAAACAAAACTATTTGTTTCGATTTCAAAATCAAAGAAAAAATCCTTATATAACGCAATTTAAGTATTACCCAAAAATAGATTTCGAAGCGGACCCTATTGATAAATTAAAACATTGAATTCAAAAACTATCTGTTTCGATTTCGAAATCAATTAAATTTCCTTATATAACGCAATTAAAGTATTACCAAAAAATGGATTTCGAAGCGGACCCTATTAATAAATTGAAACCTTGAATTAAAAAAACTATCTGTTTCGATTTCAAAATCAAGTAAATTTCCTTATATAACGCAATTCAAATATTGCCAAAAATTGAATTTCGAAGCGGACCCTATTAATAAATTGAAACCCTTACTTAAAATTACTTTACTTCGTGTGATCCCCACCATGACATTTATACATGTTCTTACTGGCACATCTTCTGGCATTCTATCTGACATATCTTCTGACATTCTATTTGGCATTCTATCTGGCATATCTTCTGGCATATCTTCTGGCATTCTATCTATCTTCTGGCATTCTATCTGGCATATCTTCTCTTCTGACATTCTATTTGGCATTCTATCTGGCATATCTTCTGGCATATCTTCTGGCATTCTATCTGACATATCTTCTGACATTCTGGCATTCTATCTGGCATATGGCTTCTGGCATTCTATCTGACATATCTTCTGGCATTCTATTTGGCATTCTATCTGACATATCTTCTGCATTCTATCTGGCATTCTATCTGGCATTCTATCTGGCATATCTTCTGGAATATCTTCTGGCATATCTATCTGGCATATCTATCTGGCATATCTTCTGGCATATTTCTGGCATTCTACCTGGCAAATCTTCTGGCACTCTATCTGACATTTTATCTTCCTACATGAGGTCCGGCAGGGAACACTGGGCGCGGATGGTCGCGGTTGAGGTCCGGCAGGGAACACTGGGCGCGGATGGCGTGGTTGAGGTCCGGCAGGGAACACTGGGCGTGGATGGTCGTGGTTGAGGTCCGGCAGGGAACACTGGGCGTGGATGGTCGTGGTTGAGGTCCGGCAGGGAACACTGGGCGTGGGTGGTCGTGGTTGAGGTCCGGCAGGGAACACTGGGCGTGGATGGTCGTGGTTGAGGTCCGGCAGCGAACACTGTGGATCGCGAGTCGCAGTTGAGCAGGAGGACGAGGAGGACAACGAGGACGACGAGGACAACGAGAGGACGACAAGGATGACAAGGAGGACGAGGAGGACGAGGAGGAGAGGAGGAGGAGGAGAGGAGGAGGAGAGGAGGACGAGGCAGGAGGAGGAGGAGGAGGAGGAGGAGGCAACTGACATAAAATCTAACAACCCTCACCTGGCAGGTGGGGAAAAACTAGAACTTTCACGGACCCTAATAATAAACACTCCGCATTTAACTAGTGTTTATTATTAGGGGGCGAAACCCACAAATGGTAGCTTTATCTTTAAATTGTTTTCTAAAGGGGATCAATTAAAAGTCAAATTGGCCAACCTGAAATTTTCCAAAATTGGAGATGGACCATCGTTTTTATTATTTGGGGGGTTTAGTAATAGGGGGAAGGGATTATTCGACACGCATGGGGCTGTTGCGCAGGTACAATTTGGGCAGGGGTAGCTCAGTTGCGGTGAAATGTCCCTCAAATGTTCAACATCTGAAAAACATTTCCACTGAAAAGATAGCCTCGTGGCCGTAGCTCACCTCGTCTGGGTAGCATCGCCCCGCGCGAATGCGACAGAAAAGTTGCAAAGAAAGGGTCCAGTGAGAACTTTTCTGCGAACTGCTGAGGAGGTTGTTGAAGATTGTGGTATCCTTCACAGCAAGGGTTGACGGAATGTCTGAAGGAGAGATACAGCATTTGACTTTGAATATGATTCACGGCTGTTCCTTAAACCCAACTTGGATTGGGATTGCCCCACATATCATGTTGGGGCTGGACCTGCATCCCTTTGAAACCCAGAAGGAATGGATCGCAATGGTCGCAAAACTAAGACGCATAATTTGCATGGAATGTCAGGAATTCACCAATACGATCCCTGAAAGAAACCATGGCCACTTTTCTAACCGTGTGTCAAAAACACCTCTATCCTTATCAACAGTGGGTAAAGGCGTCGCTTCCACCCTGTTTCGGATCACTCAGTCCTATCAGTTCAGCAAACACACAAAGCTTGCTAGCACTCAGCATGCCCTGCTACCGGCAATGACGGGCTCCTACCCTGCCACCCTTACTTAGTTCCCATACCCAAGAGCCCACGATATTGAACTGCTTTGGGCAGTTCTAGTCTGATGTTGGCTTTTGGGACCGCCATTTCCCCATGTTTGTTGGGTGAACCCCCCTATTTGGCTCTATCCCGGTTTGACTTAGCTGAGGTCATTTTGTTGGAACTGTTTGCAAGATTTTGTAAGTCAAATTCCCACATCTGTCTTTGAAAACCCAACACTTGAGAACCCCTAATCGGCCCTAATCCTTAAGTACTCCCCCCACCCAAAAACCTCGCGCCACTGATTTCCAAATCACTGGGAAGCCAAAGGAAAAACAGCAGCTTTTCTCGTAAAGAAGACGTACCGGTATGGGTCCAAAAATTTGGCATCCCAAAAATTTGAACTGGCCAAATCCGGGTCACACATGAATTTAGATGGTGAACTTGTTTAAAGCGATGACCATTCTTGCGTTAGTTTTTTTTTACCCGTGAGCTAGCTCGATATATCCACCATAAACCCAATTTTTAGATCGCTTTCTACTTCTTTCCACCACAGCCCAGCAAAAATAAAGCAACTATAAATTCAATTTCTCCATGTTTGCCCGTTCAATCCCAATTTTCCAACAGTTTTGGTTGGTTAAATCCCCGGTTTTGAGCTATCCAGCACAGTTGCCGGGCTCTGTTCGCCACGTGTTCTGCGGCAGCTGCTCAGCTGCTGACAGCTGAGGCACCAGTGGCTGGAGATGGCGGTGAGGAGCTGGGAGACGGTGACCAGATCAGGCCACACCTGTGGCGGAAATCAGGTGGGATACTTAGTGTGATTTATAGTTGACGTGTTGGTACAAGTTTTATCAAGCTGTATGTGATATAGAAATATACCTGATATGATGTAACATAGCGTAAATAAACAGGATCTAATACCATCATCCTGCAGAGTTGGTCTCGTACTGATCAGAAACATATGGCAGCAGTATTGTTTGGGTTTTGTGCATGTTAATGCTGGAATGTCCATGAAAAATGGTTAAAAACACGATGTTTCCTCTCCATCATCCTTTTCAAAGCTATTATCAGCTTGTTGTGACAGCCGTTAGCTTCTACGTCTGTGGTGAAGTTCAGACCCCACCGGTTCCACTCCCCGCCTGCAATTGCGTCATCCAGCAGAAGTGGTGCAACGCAGCAAGCCAGGCACTGCCACGGAGTACCATGCTATAGCACACCATGTCAGGTTCCACCTCCGAGTGTCGCGCTGACACCTAGAAGTGGCGCAAGTCGAAGGCCTTCTGAAGAACATGGTGATTGAATTGAAGACCCATGTCTCCCATTTCTTGATGAATGATTGCTGGGTGGTTCATGCATGACTCATGGACGATTGATAGTTCAATCCCAACCTATTGAGTCAAGCCTTCTGTATATGGAGTGGAGCAAAAACAATCTTTATTGCATTAGGCCACGGTTGATTGATGGCTATAGCTGATGGTTCAGCCCTTGTTGATCAAACGTATTTTTTCATGTGTTTGTAACAGTAAAAAGCCCAATGTACTGATGATTAACACCTACAGAAATTGAAGCAGCCCACCCATCTCGTAGTGGATATTAAAGTATTGATTCTAGTATTGGTAGGTAAAATTGCAAGTCCATTGCTGGTTCAAATTTTCCAAGGTCTCCATCCAAGCGTCTAAAACCCCCAGAACTTCGCTCCATGAAAGCGTCTTCAGCAGTTTCCGCAAGGACCCCGCTGTGGTCCTCCGAGTCGGCTCTGACAAACATGTCGCACCTGCATCAAGGGTGGCCTGAGCTAACCAAGAACCAGGCAGAGACTGGATGATTGGTATGCAACGTACATTGGCTTTGTAACTGGTTGAAATGGTTATGATACAATTGTTGCAAGAAAAGTTGCTATTTACACTGACTGGTTAGTCAAAATCATACTTAAATATACTGGATGCATCATTGGAGGGCTGCATGGGGTTGTCACGTTTAAGATGAGCCCCAACTTGGGATAGCTACAACTTCGATGGCCTTGTAAGTGCTCCTAGCAATGATAAAAATATGTCAATGATATTGCATGCAGGTGTTTAAGACTGTCAAATCGAAATAGCACTGGTATCAGCATCTTTCACTCTACCAGCAGACACATGTCATGGGGACAATCAGAAAGCTGACGGTTTTTGTGCGCATCCAGGCACATGTTCAGAAAGTCTTCGCATTGCTGCAGCCAACGCTTGAGCCAACACAGGTTCGCACAGCGGATGCCTTGCTTGTAATTGTAACATATTCTGCCAGCCACATACTCCACTGGACCTCAACAAAGAAAGCCACAAATACGAACAGTAGGAGAGGTCCACCATGGGAATAGTGTGGTTCCTTTCAATGGCTATGCCATGATGAGCCCCGGATGTCGTGAAACCCTTGTGGTAAGTCAGTGAAAGCATGCATCCACGTGATGTACTGAATGTCTGAACATGTCGTTCTTGGAAATGGTGCCAACAAAAACATACGGATGACTTTTCGCACCCTCTGCAGTGAAGGCTACCATACTTCACAATGCTAATTTCAATCAAATACGATGATCAAGACCAAGTTGTTGGCAGTCGGTGGTAGTTAGAACTCTGTCTATGTCGTTTAATGCCAAGCAATCATCGTCAATCATCAGTCATTCATAATTCATCATCAATCAATTGCCATGAGCCATCAGGGTTACCTGCCCATTTCTCTTTGGCATTCCGCCATTGTTACACTTGTCTCTCGTTGGCTGCGCCTGCGCCACCGTGATCAAGCGACGTAAGGCCACCACATGGCTCCGCACCTGGATGATTGGGTTAGGGTGAGATGAGTCCACCCCTTCATAATTTGACGTTGGGCATTTTCCGTGGCTATGTGAACTTGCCACGCCGAAGGTATTAGGCATGGAACATTCATGATCTCCGGATATACGTTGATGCCGACTACTTTTCGAGAATGGGTGAGTAATGAACTAATTATCGACCGCATATGGATGGAAATTAGCTGACCATTTAGCACGCCAGCCGGCCAAGAAACGGCAAGGCAAGTGCGTGGTGGTGACTTCCAATATGGGGGTGTAACCAGCCTGAAAACCTGTTGGTGTGTCACTAGAGTCGTACAGTCTGTGAAAAGTCAGTAGCTTGCAGTCGTGTCCCATGGGCTAACCCAGGTATATGAATCCCCTGATATGTCTTATTAGCTTTGCAACTGGATCCTCACCTCCAGTTGGTCAGCAAATAGCTAGAAAATTGATTTGCAAGTGAGAAATATTTCCTATGAAATATCACGGAGTCGCAATTGAGTTAGAACCTGTTTTGAGCACCCTAGTTGTTGGACCTTCTTTGACTCAAGGTGCAGACCTCCTAAACATCGAGATTCAGAACGGGCTGGCCATCTTGACTGTAGCTTTGGTATACTTCTGTTTTGGCATCCACAAACGCAATCCAACTGTAAAATCCAGCTAGTAAAAGGTATGTTTGACCCATTGTTAAGAAGGGGACGGTTCGGCTGCCAATTGGGAAAAGTTAGCAAAGACACTTTTCAATTTGGGCAAGAGGCGAGGATGTCCCCAAGTTCCTTCACACAATTCCAAATTGTTGAAATGATGTAGATACATGTCATTTGCATATCTTCCCATCTCTGCCTGCCACTTATTGACGCATGTGGCTCAACTTGACTCACTCGAACAACTGGGTGGGGGCAAGGGCGTGCTTGCAGTTTTCCATGCATTTCATTGAAGTAGTTGAAGAGAAAACAACTACAGGAAACCCTTACTTTGGTCAGCCAACTTGACCAGCGGCATGGGCCCCAACCAGCTATGCCAATCAACATCTTGATTTTTGCGAAGAGCAGGTATGAATTTCACCAGGATTAACGAGGTTTAACAAGAACTCAATATACACATGCACATACATGCGTATGTGCGTATCACAAATGTATTTTTTAAATCTATTTATCTCTCTACCTACCTATCTGTGGATCTATCGATCGATCGGTCTATCTATCTAGAAATAACTAGATAGATACTTGTGTAAGAACAAGCAGACAAGTATGATTAGACATGTAGGGTTCTCAAAACCAATGGAAACAGATTTGGTAATATACATAAACATGTATACAGAATGGTGATATCTAGTCACCATATGTGACCAGAACTAGATGCATTTACCTTTTTGCAGAACCCCACAGCAGACCTCCTCGTTGTCCATCGAGGTCTTGACTCTCTGGGCGTTCAAACGTTGCGCCGTTCGCGCCTGGCGTGGGCGTAAGTGTGACCAGCAAGGGTGTTAACGTGAAACGTTAATTACTGGTTTTCATCGGTGCGTTTTTCATTGGGTAAGCTTAGAATTTCTGCAATATTAGCCAATTAAAAATAGCATCCGTTCCCAAATGCGTAAATGAATAACACCGGATATCACCAACAAGGAATGGCCAAGCCTGAATCATGATCCTCCAAAGGTATCACGGAGATGAACAATAATATTTAACTCATCAAACAATGACCCGCGCAAATTTTAAGTTGCCAACGCCATATTTGGGGCGCCAAGGGACTTGGTTAAAAGGCCTAGCCAAGCGCTGCCTCAATGTTTCGAAATCTGGGTGTATGTGAAGGATACACGATATTGCAATAACAAGAGTCATGAATGCTGCCAACAGATCTGATGTTGAAAATGACATCTCCGGTGGCGCAGAATAGGATGCGCACGCCTTGAAACACATTTTTTTGCAGAATTGCGGATGAAGCAAATGGACACCTGTCACATGACAAATGCACGCGTCCTTCTCAGTTAATGTGCCATTACTCATTACTCTTTGCCCGGAAAGCTTGCAATCCTATGTTTCGCCCTTGTCTTCCCTTGTATCAAGTCAGGCATTCCGTCGCATCTCATTCTACTTAAATACCGAAATTCAAAGAAGAAGATACCGATGAGTGTTCAATAAACCAACACGTTATTCAAAGGGACCTTCTCCGCTTCGATTTGGGAGGGACACCCGTCAGGCTGTAGGTCACGCTCCCGCGCCTGCTTCCACCTTGGCCGCGCTGTATGGAAGCTGAATGAGCTTCCCCACCAATTGGCATTGAAGGCGTGTACCCATAAGTTCCGCTTTATTCCAACTAAACATGACAAAAAGGTTCGTTTTTATCATGTCCATAGCGTTCCTAAGTTGAATGCGGTAAATCCATCTTGTAAAAAAAGAACTTCACTACGGCTTAATTTTCGGGCGCTTTCCAAGAGTCACTCTGATGGCACAGCTCAATTACATGTGGGACCATTCCTTCAACATGTTGTTTCTTTATGTTTCTTTTGCGTTCCGAACCAGGTTTCGCTTGTCGCAGAACGTTCATCCATTTTCTCCCCAGTCCGAGCAGGAATCTAAATTTAACAAGCAAAGCAATGGTGGTTTCACAAGCTGACATGGGAATTTCACCATCACATGCGATTGAAATTTGGATTCAGCCGTCAAACATTGGAATTTAGCGATCAGACAATGGAATTAAGCCATCAAGCAGCACGTGGTCTTTACATATATATTAAATGTGTTATCAGCATCATGAATCATGCATCACATCACCAAAATGCCACTGCGTGACATTTGCCCTCGATCTTTTCCGGTCAAGCCATCCATGCCGCCCTCCATCAAGGTGGGCACCTGTACCAAAAAAAATCTCAGGGTGGGGTTAAGCCATTCACAACCGTGCCACGGTCAAAAGATGGTATGCATGGAAAAGTCGTCCATCCATTTGTGGGAGTCCGTGTGCGATATACATTTCAGAGCATGGAATGATGACCGTCCCCATGTATGGTATATAACAGATATAATCAATCTTTCGACCGTGGCACACATGGGGGGATTTCGCCCGCAAAACATATTTTCTGTGTAAACTCCCATGCTTACATTCCTTGATGGTGAGGAAAAACGGGGTAGAACGGGTATATTCAAAGATTGTGTGCCATATGATGGGATCCAGAAAATGGTCCCCAAAATATGGTAATTAACTGCAACCAACAAACTTGGGCTTCGGCCAAGACGGGGACTATCATGAGATCCAGTCATCACAACGGGGTCCTGGGGGTTTGCCCTCTAAGATACAGAGATAAATCCATCAACAAGTGAAATTGGAAGTTAGGGCGCCAACAACCATGCGGGCTGAAACATACTGAAGCGTCATTTCAAATGGGCCTGTCCAAAAGTACGATGAAACCAGGCATGTGAGGGTGATATTTGCTAGGACAAGCTGGCTGGATATCTTCATGAGATATTTTGGCAATAATACGGCGATTTGGCCAAGCAGCCAAACACTGGGTATGCCATGTAATACAGCTAAAATGTTTTCTAATCCATCCATTTTTGGCGGTTTCCCGCCAACTTCCAGCAAAATCTCTTCTAGATCTTCGAGGAAACCTCAGTGCATGCGGTAAACCCAATGCCATGAGCAATCCTTGCGCAGCCTTGGTTTTTAGGATCATCTTTTCTGGAAAGTTATTGGGCAGCCACGGGTATGGTTCTATGAACTTGCTTACTCTTCCCGACGTGGAAGGCATTTTCATCTTATTCGCGCGTTGAATGCAGTTCTCGAATCTGAACAGGGAAGCTCAGGGGACATCCCCTAAGCCATCCTTTCATGGTGTACTTGGCAAAGTTGGAACCAACTTCGGGGTGTCAATGCGTGTCAGCAATAATAGCTGATTGACGATTGTAATCCGGCTGAACCAAAAGAATATCTATCCGGAGCCGCATCCCAAAGCGTTCAATGTTTGAAGCGCGTTGAAGCAACCAATCCAGTTTGATTGAATGTGCGTCCCCAGCTTGGGCGGGTGCAGGTTGCTCTGCGGTTTTTCGCTTTCCCTGGCGATTTTTAAAACCGACTATGGCGCCTATGCGCTGCTTCCACCCAGAAATTCAAATCCAAGACACGTCCAAACTGATGCCCCTGCATGGTAGCTGCAACAATTCGTATCTTGAGTCTCTCGGTGGTAACATATTTGGAAAAGCTAGGAACCTGATATCTTGGGGTAGGTTTAGGGTTGATTTTGGGTCAGTTTTGGGTTCACTTTAGGTTCGGTTATGATTTGTTTCGGGTCTATTTGAATTTCTTGTGGCGGGTTAGGGTTGATGTGGTTTGGTGTATGGTGTTTCTTTAAAGGTGGTTGAGGGTTCACTTGGGGATAGTTTGGGGATAGTTTGGGGTTAGCTTAAGGTTGTCTTAGCGTTTGTTTAGGGTTGGCTTAGGGTTGATTTGGGATGTGCTTCATTTTTCTGGGTAGGTCTATTAAAGTTTGTTCAGCATTTGTGTATGGTTTATCCGGTGCTGGTTTAAAGTTTCTTTCTTCAGGCTTGTTTTAAGATGTCTATGAGAGGTTAGTTTGGTGTTTGTCTGGGATTGGTTTAAACATATAGTTACGGTTGGCTTCAACAGATTTACAATGCTTCTTTTCTTTATCTGTAGTTGGCTTAGGCAGTTTACGTACAGCATGTGTAGGGTCGGTTGAAGGTGTATACGTATACATATACATATACATACACATACATACATACATACATACATACATACGTACATACATACATACATACATATATATATATATATATATATATATATATCCGGGTTCGAATTTGGGGGAGGGGGTCGCACCCAGCTTCTTGTAAGCATAAACTGGTGGGATTTTGAAAACCTTTATAAAATGGATCGGTTTTTGGGAATTTTGGCCCTCACAAAAAGAATAGGCTTTTAGCACCCAAATTCGCCTCTAAAATCCGTCATCATTTAGTAAGGTGACAACTTTCTTCATGATATGAATTTTGTATCCCACTCGATGACCTTTTAATAAGAAGTTGTGATTTCAGATAGCATTTTTGGGTATCATTTTGTAAGGCAACAACTTCTGGTTCCCTGCTTTTTTTCCCGTTCTCGTTGATTTTCAAGCAGCCTTCTTGTAAGGATTCCTTTTCTTTGCCACCTTTTGTATTTTGTATATTTGTTGCTTTGGCATCATTGCCTACCAGAACTCCTGTCATGATGTCTGGCGTTTGTGTTGTCACATGAGTACAAAAAACACATGAAAGTTGAACACGACAGAAAATGTACAAAGTACAAAATGAAAATATGAGATAGCCGTGAGCGTAGCCACACTTACAACTTGCAAAAGAATCTTGGGCGACACAACACCCGTTGAGGAGAAAGTTGGTGCCTCCACCAAATCCGAAAAGAAATTGAACTCAAAATGGCTCCCATAAAACTTGGACTGTGCCTTACAAAATGACAAGGTGCTTGTAGCCCCAGGAAGCTGCCATGAAAGGGGGTTTTACATTTTGCTGTGTCAGCCCTGTGGTTTCGAAAATAGCCAAAACAGCTATCAGATGATTGAGTCCAATCAAAACATGTACAGGTCTGAACAATAATTTGTATCAATGCCTAAAAAGCATATATTCTTACAAAATGGGTTTTCTACTCTTGGCGACATCTCCTTACAAAATGTCATTGCACACCCTGCTGAGTTTTTTTATGTTCAATAACAGCAACCTGAGTTTACAAAAAGGCTCAAACAACAAACTCAATGGTCTTATAGAATGAGTTGGCCCCTCAAAACTCTTACTTCAAAATGTACAACTTTGCCTTTTAGGTGTCCTGTTGCAAAATGCCCCGGTTAGGGGGCTTTTTGTAACTGGTAACTACAAAATGCCTATGTATACATATTTATATATAAACTTAAGAGGGTCGACCCCTTCCAAATTAGAAGGGAAATTCCAACGGTGATGTATATATCTTTTCAACTTGCTGGCATGCTTGCTTGCTGTTTGCTGGCTGCCGCTGACTGGCTTGCAACACCAGAGGTGAATCTTCCCAGCAATCACCCGCTGACCCGCCCCAAAGCACCTCAGAATGCCAGGCCTTATTTCCAATGGCCAGATCTAAGTAAGCCTTGCCGCGAGAGCCGCAGATGCTGTGCAGAATCTGGATGTGTTTGTTTGATGTTTCATGGGGAAGTCATGGTTTTATGAGGGGAGTAGGCGTTGGGTGATTCTAGCTTGTGGGTGTTTTATATATATAATCGTTTTAGCAGCCCCAAAACTTGGAGGTTTGTTTTGGGCATACCACATGGTATTTAAAAATGTTAAGATAGACAACAAGTTCATCTTTGACATTCGCTCCCTACGTATGTTTTCTGGTGTGTATCCTTGTTTTCTGATTCTGTTGAAGTGTGCGGTTGGGGGTGTATGGAATGAAGCTTGACTGGGTATGCCACATGACCAATTACTGTTCTACTCCCCCAACGAATTCATGTCCAAACAGTAAAATGGCTTTGCGCAAGCTGATGGCTTTGCCATGCTTAGCAAAACTTTGGACTGGCGAAGAGGCTTCTCCGGGAAACCAATCCAGGCGGCTCTTTCCCTTTGGTAGCCTGGGAACGCCAGCTTTCAGTCCCCTCCTTAAAAACCGTGCTGCGAAAGCAAGTGGAACGCACTTCATTTTGAAGCCTGCCCGCTTTCCACTAGTCAATGGAGCTACCATGAAGCAAAAAGTGCGCGTGTTCCGTGGCGCTTTGGCACGGTCCATCGTTTCACCTCTGCTTCAGAACATCACATGGAAAAACATGTCCTTCACCCTCGAGACCTGGCCGTGTCGGTAACTGCGCAGCGGGCTTTCCCGATGCGCTCGGCAATGACTTGGCAATGTCTGGGGAATCAGAGTGAAATTAGACTACTGGACTTCGCAGATGTAAAATGATTAAGAAAGTTGTTGAAAGTTTGATGTGCCTGAAAGGAGCTGAAGTTAAGTTGACGCAGGTGCCGAGATGCAACAGCGCGCAAAGCTTCGAAGCCTCACAAGTGACTTGATGTGATCGACGCCGCAACTGCCACGACAATCTTTGCTGAAGCTGCCTGCATAGAAAACGGAAGCAAACACAGGCAAAAAGATGCGAAAAGGAAACTATGCGGTCTGCCAACCTTGGAGTCCTTGGAGGCTGACAACTTGACAGTGGCAGACTTCACCCTGCGCGGAAATAGGGTCGTTTCAAATTGAGCTGCTCAGTCTGTCTATAATAACAACCTTCTATAGTGTTTTGAGATCATGGATGATCATGGTTTCTTCTTCCCTTCTACCGCTTTTGTTAAAGCTTGCACGCAGACCAACTGTGGAATTTTGTCGCAATATCAATGAAAACTATTGAAAACTGATCAATGACAACTTGCATCCCACCAGAGCCAGCACTCACTGAAACCGTGGGTGACGTTGCAATCTCTGTCAGCAATGGCAAACTCACAATCTGCGACGTGCACGCCTGGTCTCAAAATACGGTGAATGATGCCCTTATAAATAGTGTGGAAGAAAGCAAAAACCACAGGATTACAAACATCTCACTGTTCTCTATTCTGCCTCACCAACATCTGCACTTGCACAGTGTACTGATGACAAGGCCTGGTCCTGCGAGTGGGGCTTGTTCACCTGCGGAATGTAATATACTGAATGCCGCAAGCACGAATCCAAGCCCCAAAGTTCAACACTTCCCACAAAAGCTCGGGTTGGCCATTGCGAATTAACAAAATAATGTCAACATGGCGTTAATAAACCCCCCCACAATAAAGTACGCCAACTCCCGGTTCAAAATAATAAACCCCCCCCGTAATAAAGTACGCCAAATGTTTTTTCCCGTTTTTTTCCAAATTTTCCCTTTAGTATTCGTTTTCAATTAGGCAATTCATTCGTGAATACATAGGTGTGTTTTTTTTTTGGAAAGTTCCCTTTATGTATTCGTTTTCAATTAGGCAATTCATTCGTGAATACATAGGTGATTTTTTTTTTGGAAAGTTCCCTTTATGTATTCGTTTTCAATTAGGCAATTCATTCGTGAATACATGGGTGATTTTATTTTTTTGGAAAGTTCCCTTTATGTATTCGTTTTCAATTAGGAAATTCATTCGTGAATACATAGGTGATTTTTTTTTTGGAAAGTTCCCTTTATGTATTCGTTTTCAATTAGGCAATTCATTCGTGAATGCATAGGTGATTTTTTTTTTGGAAAGTTCCCTTTATGTATTCGTTTTCAATTAGGCAATTCATTCGTGAATACAT